CCCATCCCATCCACTCCTTCTCTCTCCCCTCCTCCCTCCCTCCTCCTCCCCCTCTTCCTCCTTCCCTCTCTCTTCCTCTTTCCCTCTCTCCCTCTTTCCATCTCCCTCTCTCCTGCTTCCCCTCCCTCTCCTTCTCCCCTCCTCCTTCCCTCTTCCTCCTTCCCTTTCCCTCTCCTTCTCTCCCTCTTTCCTTCTCCCTCTCCCCCTCCTTTCCCCTCCTCCCTTCCTCTCCTTCTCCTCTCTCTCCCTCCTCCTCCTCCCTCTTCCTCCTTCCCTCTTCCTTCTCTCTCTCCCTCTTTCCCTGTCAATCTCCTTCCCCCCCTCTCCTACTCTCTCGTTGCTCTCTCTCTCTCTCTCTCATTTTCTCTCCCTCTCTTGCAGCCCCGTTCTGCTCTCTTCAGCAAGAGGAGGCCAAGGGTGGACAGCAGCGCGCAGGCCCTTCCAGGTGAGCGGCTTACGGTTGAGGTTCACCTTTGGCCGAGGTCTGGTGCATGCGGATCTTCTTGGACGCCACAAATTGTAGGACCTTCTCCACATTCTCCTTCATGGCCTGCTGGTTGGCAGGTGACTCTTCCACACCAAGGAGTTTCTCTCCAGCTGCAAAAGAGGAGCCGCAAAATTTCAGGACAACTCTTCAAACCTGCAAGTATGGAGTTTGGCAGGCGAACAATATATGGACAACCTCTTGCCCTAGGGCAGAGGTCCCCAAACTTGGCAACTTTAAGACTTGTGGACTTCAACTCCCAGAATTTCCCCGTTTAAGTGAAATGTAAGCATTGCAAACAGGCCGGAGGTGAACAGGGATGTGTACCCTTCTCTCCTGCCCCATTTCTCTGCTCCTCCCCCTTAATCCGGAGTGAATCCAGGAGTCTGAGCCCTGAAAACCATCCAAATATCTCTGCAATGAGGCTACTCACCCACAATCTCAATGAGAGACGCCAGGACCACGCCATCGCGGAGGTCGCGCCTCAAATCCTGCACCGGTTGAACTTCTGGCTTCTTCTTTAGCTGTGAATTCACCCACGTGACGTAGGATTGCAGTTGTTGCTGGAAAAAAGGAAGGAAGGAAGGAAGGAAGGAAGGAAGGAAGGAAGGAAGGAAGGAAGGAAGGAAGGAAGGAAGGAAGGAAGGAAGGAAGCCACCATGACTTGAGTAGTATTTTGCTTTTATATATATTTTGCTTTTATATATATAAATATATGCACGCTAAAATAAAATTACATTGGATACCTATATATAGAATTGTCACTGTTAACAATTGTTGCAGTATATTATACGGGGGAGTATCCCTTTTGCGCTACAATTATCTCTATTTTGTTCTTTTTTTCTGCTGCTATTTTAAAAACCAAAAAAAAAAAAATCAATAAAAAAACCCCTCCCGGCCTATTTCTGCTTTTTGTCTAACAGCTTTAATTACCGAGATCTTCCCGTCTGCTGGCAAATCAGGTCAAATTTGCAAGCTTTTCATCCGAGGGCTCGCCCCTGAATGGAAATCTCTGCTTTGCATTTTTAATGAATTAGTTTTAAAGTTGCTTGCTTCCTTGACATTTTTAATTACGGATTTCTTTTGTACATTAAACCGCGACCAGATGTTCCATTCTGCTTTGGCTCGGCATGGAAATCGGAGGAAACCGAGAAGGATAAAAGGGAAGAGGGGACACCCGTAATAGGAGATTATTAATGAGGATAAGGAACATTATACGACCCGAGACCTCGGCAGACGAGGAAGAGAGGAATCACGCCAGCTTATCTCTAGTCTGGATCTCATCGTTTTCCCCCTCCCTGGGGGAGATTCCTCTGCAGGACTTCCATCAATGAAAACTAAAAGTTGGCTTGTGGTTCTTCGTGATGGAGACCATGACTCTCCCACAAGACTTCTTCTGCAAAGCTGGTTTTTAAGTTCTTATTAATACCTTTAGGCCAATATATGTCAGGCATGAAAAAGAGGCTGAGACTCTAGAAAGAGTGCAGAGAAGAGCAACCAGGATGATGAGGGGACTGGAGGCTAAAACCTACGATGGACGGTTGCAGGAACTGGGCCTGGCTAGTCTAGGGAAGAGAAGGTCCAGGGGAGACAGGAGAGCATCTTCCAGTATTTGAGGGGCTGCCACAGAGAGGAGGAGGGGGTCAAGCTGTTTTCCACCTGAAGGCCAAACAAGGAATAATGGATGGAAACTGATCAAGGAGAGATTCAACCTGGAAATAAGGAGACAGAGAGAACAACCAACCCATGGAACAGAAGTTGCCTTCAGAAGTTGTGGGAGCTTCATCACTGGAGGCTTTCAAGAAGAGATTGGACAGCCATCGGTCAGGAATGGTGTAGGGTCTCCTGTTTGGGTGAAGGGTTGGACTGGATGGCCTACAAGCTCCCTTCCAACTCTGTTAATCTATCTGTTAACATATTATGACCAGGTCCACCAGTGAAGGTTCAATTAAACTGATTTGTTGCTAAAAGCCTATGCACAGGAATCTTCTTAACCAATGGTCAGTGCCTGGTTAGGATTAGATAAGGGCCAAGGGCACTCAAGGGTTGGATTTAGTTTGCTTGTGGCTATGTAGAGATTCTAGGCTGATTCCTCTTTTCACTCCACCTCCAGGTCTTGCCATTCCTTCTCCTACAATATTTTAATTTTCCGTTGTTATCTGTTTGGGGTGAAACCTACCAGCAAGTAGATCTGCCTGCTATTCTTTTACGTTTTGGAAGGAAATCCTCCTAAATACACAAAGCCAATCATATCTTCCACATATTCATCAATCCAAGCAGGTACAATGGGATGTGGAAACAGCAAGGATTTGTAGTCTACTGGATGTTCTGCCAGCCTTTCTTTGTTCCTTGCTGTTCCACCTTGACTTTGGGCATCATAGTCTCTATAATAAACTCATTATCCATCCAACCTTGCATGGAAAACCGCAGGTATGACCTGATGGAAGACTGAACTTCCTCTGATGGATTCACCCTCACTGTTATCTCCAGCAATGCAAAGTTGTAGCTGGTTCGGGGCTACTGGCGACTACGGTCATGTGATCTTCATTTTCCAACGTTTTGTGACAGTTTCCCAGCCAATCTCACAATCCCTTGCTCTTTCTCCATCCCTCCTTTCTTACCTACAGGGAAGGGAATTTTACCTACAGGGATGGGAAGGGAATTTCCAATGTTCCCTGCCAGCTTCCCCTATGGAAAGTCAATGGGGAAGCCAGCAGGAAGTCGGAAATCGTTCCTGCCCCCACCGCTTTTTGGCCTGCGCATGGCCATGCTGTTCCTCTCTACACATAAGGATGTACCTTGGAAACAATGACCTAATGGGTCACAGGCTGTCTGTTAATGTTTTAAAACTTGGTGATAGGTCTACCTATTCTAAAGAGAAAGAACAAAGAAGAGCCACAAAGGAAGCTCCCTTGATGCATTCAGGCGCCGATCCTCACTCTGGTTCTTATGTTCCTTGTAGCATCACACGTGGCTGTGGGGAGAGAGCATCAGGCATCCATCTCAGCTTCTCTCTTCTCCAGTGATATTTCTCCCTGCTCAACCAGACCACCTTGTACGCTGCAATGCCTAGCAACAGGTTCTGGAAATTTAAAAATAGCTGGCACATTTTCTCTCTGATTTTTCGCCCGTTGCCAAGGAGAGACAATCAGGGGGCAGGATTTAAATCAGGTTCGGCTGTTGAATTCAGCAACCCCCTGAAGCCGGTATAGATTAGGAAATGGGAGTCCTGGTGTTCGCGTTAGGAAACTGGGCAGACTCTGGGGCATTAGGCGTTGTCAATCGGATCTTTTCGATAATATGTATTTCATCCACACAAAACATTTAGAAAGGCTTTTGGGTATCCAGCCTACATCAATCTGTGCTGAATTCTGCCTGCAAAATATTCATGCGTTGATTTAAAAGTATTGGCTGCCAACTCTTAACGGGCCAAGGTATATGGTAGAAGCGCAGGGGTCAAAACAAACCGAAATGTCCAAAGACAGGACAACTTCATTTATTAAAAAGCCTCTCCTCCTTGATAAATCTCATCTCATCCATCTGTTTTCATCCAGCTAGTTTTACC